TGACTGTGTCTTCACCTTGTTAAGCGCGCTGCGCATGCGCAGACCACCTGTTATAATATGTGGACCACACACTCGACTAATAATCGAACGCCGATCATGCATGGGGTTTACGAGTTTTAATTAAAAAATTGCAATGGCGTTTTTTACAATCGGATAACAGACGAACTATTAATGATATGATAGTCGGACAAGTTTCATTTTATTCTATATTTATCTGGCTTTTATGTTTTGGTAAAAGTTTTTAATTATTATTAATATTATGGGAGTAATCTTTAATTGTTTAAAATGTTGTTATTTTTAGTAAAAAAATGTGTGTTGTTAGTTTGCAATGCGATAACTTACAAAATATTAGGTTTATGATTATAATTCAAAAGTGGTTTTATAGGATATTTTATTAGCTTCAAAACGAGCTATAAAACTTTGAAATGCACAAACGTGTTTGGTATTTATAGCGTTTCGAATAAAATTTATTAATTTTACGTTTTTAAATTTAGATATTTGAATTCATCAACTTTGATTTGTTGTAACTTTTTTAATAATAACTTTATTTTAAATATTAAAACTTTATTATATAAACAATTTAATTGTTTATCAAAGGAATCTTTTACATTTAAAAAATCTTTAATAGCTTTGTACTTACAGAGTGTTTAGTAAAACAAGATTTTTTTACAAAATATTTATATATGCCAACTTTAACATTAAATAATTTAAACAATTATTAATATATTTAAACAAACATAATTCTATGTAATGCAGTATTTCTTAGGCTATAAAATGCCGTCTTAATTTTAAAAATATTCCAAATACTTTAGCCGCAATCTAAGTTTAAAGTTGTTGTGTATTTTTAAAGAATTTAAAATTCAAAAATTAATTTAAAACAATGTAAAACCCATGTTAAACTAGAAAAACGAGGTTTCATCGGTGTCCCTTTTAGCTGGCTGGCTACTTGGATGACAGGGTGATTTATAGTGGCGCGTTCTAATGCCGATGGAAGCATTTTTCGTTTGCTTTCGGGCCCATAAAAACAATCCGAATAAATTTCGACCTTTTCGACTTTTCAGTCGGCTCGCATAATAAAACAATTAAGTTTTATTGTTTCTACGTCTAGTTTTGAAATATTTTGCATCGAAATTTAAGTTTCGCTTTCGAGTATCCTCTCTCTTCGGAGGATGAAGTGGCAGCTGTCATACTGGGGCTAATAACGTGAAGGCTGCTCCACTTAAACGCACCTTCCGTTATTTACCTTTATTCTTTACGTTTCGGGGTTGGTTTTTGGGGTTTGGTGGTGTGTGTGTGTGTAGTTTATATTTGAGGGGTGAGCATTATGTGCGCGCCTTGGATGATTAACCCCCCTTGACTAGGTGAGGAGGGCATGGGTAGGATAGGCAAACAAACCTCCCGAGCCGCCTGGCATTAATTCATCATCGTATAGTGGACCTCACCCCGGATGATGGATCGAGGCATTAATAAAAACCACCACCCATCATTATATCTTTGTAATTATTGCTTTTATAGCAGAAATGACTTAATTTGCGGTGCAAAAATTCATTTTGAAAGGTTTTAACAGATTCCATTGGGAGTAATTATGGGATTGGTTCTGTTTATACGTCATTCTATAGAGGGTTAAATTTGCTACAAAATGGTTTTTATTTCATTTTTGTGGTTATAATAGTTTGTTAATAAATTAGTGTCAAAATTGAACAATTTTTTTGAAGGAGAAAAATCAACTTTTAACAAAACACCCTGTAACTCAATAATTGTAATATGGATTATATCAAAATTTACATGACTTATAACTGATAAAATTTCCTTTATTTTGGTTTCAGTATAATTCAAATATTCCGATTGGTTTATAAATTATCGCGGTTTAAAGTTGATCAATTTTTGGTGACTTTAGAATTAATGTATATAAACTTTATTTGTTTTATTCATAATTACTTCGTACTTTTTCTAGATTTACTCAGAAACTAATTAAGATATTACAATATTTCAAAAAGTATTTTAAAGAGGATTAAATTTGCTACAAAAATCACTGAGTCATAATTCTGTAACATTATTAGTTCGCTTACAATTCACTCCCAAAATACACAAACTTTTGTTGCTCTGAAAAATCACTATTTTTCTAAACACTCTGTAATTTATTATTAACAATAACAAATTTATTGAAACTTTACACCATTATAGTTTCTTAAATTCTCTATAAGCTGCTTCAAACCCCATTAAAATATACCAAATACTTTAGGAGTAATCCACGTTTAAACTTGCGGAATATTTTTCACTGTTTGATTAAAGCGACTTAAGTCACTGGCGCGCCCGCTAAAATTATTCCACGTCATTAATATGCTAGTTTCGACGCTTGTTTAATCGCCCCGGCCGTTTGCCATCAGCCCCTTGTTTTTTGCTCTCTTTGAGTGTCTCCTAACAAGCCGAAAACGTTGATCGCGATGCGAAAGCAGCGATAAAACAAAAAGCGTTTGTTCGAGAGCGCGCGCGCGCACACGTTGCGAGTGCGGCGTGTTCGTCGGGTTGCATTGGCGCATTCGCCGTTAAATATTAAACGATTATACCCCGGCGTGCACGGCCCGACGTTTTGTACCCGACTTAGCATGGGTCTTCGTCTTGTTTGTTCGGCGCCTTGTTGCTCCTGCGTGTGCACACGCGGCGGACGGTGGCGCCGGCCCCGTGGGGGGGCGCACCGCAACCCATCGGACCCATCGTCTGACCATTATCATTCTCATACTGCATGTTACAGCAAAAATAAAAATCATAAAATTTTTAATTAATAAATTAAGGGTGTAATAAGGGCACTATAGGGATGAAATTTTATATAGAGGTAGATAAAGGTACCATGTTTATGTGTACCAAATTTGGTTAAAATATTCCTAATAGTTTAGGAGTTATTCATGAAAATGTAGTTAAGTCAGTTCGTAAAAGAAGTTACTTAAAGTTTAAAGCTTTATAACTCTGTTACTACTCGTCGGATTTACATCAAATTTTCAGCGAATATTCATATAACACCCCTCTACACTTATACAAAATTTAATTAATGTATCTTTTAAACCTCTTGAGTTTTAAAGATTTAAAAAATATAAATTTTTACAACAAAAATTTTGATGTTTTTTGTTCCGTGCTGGTCTGGTAAGCGACTTTTCGGCCTCGGTTCAATTATGCGGCGCCTGTGCGCCGCGCACGTCTCTCTCTTTATTGCGCCGTTATTACTTAACTAACTCGCCAACACTCGTGCACCGCACGTAATGAAAGACAAATAAGGAAGACTCGTCCCTCAGCGCGCGCGCACACCGAAATAAAAACGTGAAGAATGGAACATTAAGTACCCGAACGCATAGAAATTAAGTATTCTAAAAGTACTTATTATAATTATGAGTTATTATGGGTTTGAGAACAAGTCGAGAAGACGCAAAACAAACAGATCTCCAAGGATGATAACGCAAACGCTCAAATTAGACGAAAAAAATGCGTCAAAATGGTGCTAAGTGATTTTTTTGTTGTTGTTAAGTGCTAAAAGCAGTCGAAATATGAAAATATTGAATTAATAAAAATGTATGTGTTATGGTACAAATCGCAATTTGATTCGATTCGATTCTGGTATCGACAATCATGTGAATGATTTATGCGACAGGGTGTCATTAACAAATTGCCTTTTTATCGCGTCGACGGCGATAAAATGCGCGTCTTGTGTGATGATTAATTGATACTCGCGCGACTGCCGAGTGCGTGTTATCTTGTTGGTGATAAGAGATGTCAGCAATTTGTGGCGCGTCAAATGCGAAGAGTGTCGAATTACGCCCAGGGAGTCAAGTTTAAAAGGGCACGTCGGCGAAGGAAAAGGTCAACCACGGCGATATGTGCCTCACTAAATCAAATTAAAAATATTAGAATGATAAGAAGAAGATTTTATAAAATTTTGGGCCGATTTTAAGAGTAAAATACAAAGAATTTAAAAAAAATTGAAAAAATTATTTTAAGGGATAAAAAATGGGTGTAATAATTATTGGAAATTGTTCAAATTTTATACATATTATTATTAGATATGTGAGAATATTTGAGAAAAATTTTGAGGTTATGGATAATTTAGTTTCTGAGTTATGGAGGTTTAAAGTTAAATTTTCTTATTTTGAAATTTCATGGACTTAACACATGTTTAAGGGGTAAAAAATGATAGTTCTGCTTATCAAATTTTAACCAAATTTTGGAACAACGTTGATAATAGTATGAAAAATATAAATCCAAGATTTAGTGGTGTTCTTATCAGTAGTTCCCGCGTTATCACTGTTTAAGTAAATTTTATTTAATTTTTTTTACATTTTCTCAATTTTTGCAATTTGTGGCAGCCAAAAAACAATAGATCTAATTTTTGAATTATCACAAAATGTTGTCACATTATTTAAAATATATTCGAAAAGAGAAATTAAAAATGGCGTTGCTATATATTTAAAACTTTCCAAGTTATCGCCAAAATAGTAAAATTATTTCCTTTTAACCCAAAATATTTTCAAAGTTTGGCAGTCAAAAAACAATAGATCCCATTATTGAATATTTACCAATTGTCAATTGTCATCTTATAAAGAATATATCAAAGAACCATAATCCAAGATGGCGTCCCTATACACTAAAAACTCTCCGAGTTATCGCTAAAACACTGACATTTTTAGCCGTTGACCAAAATGATGATTGTTTTGGGAATGACTTTCCAGACAAATGTTCCCGCAAATGAAGTTCAGAGTGAGCGGGTTGGACCTGAAGGCGAAATACATACTCCTCTTGGACATAGTCGCCGCCGACGATTACCGCTACAAATTTCACAACAGGTGAAACCCTCTAAAGTTCTCTCCGCGGAGCTAGAAAGATTTTATTGGGTTTCCATCGCAAAATTTCACTCAAAAAAAAAAAACTAAAAGTGTTTTCACTGTGTACACAAAAACCACCTCTTTTCTCTGTGTGCCCTCCGTTACCAACGATTGTGCGATATTGTGTTTCAGGCGCATGTTTCCTGCCTACAAAGTGCGTGTATCGGGCCTTGATAAAAAATCCAAATACATTCTGCTAATGGACATCGTGGCCGCTGACGATTGTAGATATAAATTCCACAACAGGTTAGCCACCATATTCTCCAGTTCAATCTGGACAAGTACAAATAACATTCTTCTTTATTCTCCATCCAAACAATATACTTACTAGTGCGCGGATAATTTTTCCAAACAAAAAAAAATCCTTTCGGGTGTTTGTTTTTTTATTATTCAGTTTTTTTGCTGCGATTTGGAATTTTCATCAAAGCCCGAAATCCGACAAAAAAGAAAACAGAACAAAAAAAAAACAGATACCCGATGCGTGAAAATTTACAAAAAGGCACGAAGCATGCGTCTTGTAACCTAACCTCAACCACAAAATACAAAAATCCTAACCTCATTTACTCATTGGTAGTTTGCATGCAAGTTTGGTTACATACGAAAACACTTTTAGTCAATTACCGGAGATCTTTCTAGCTCTTTTAAAACAAATCCTTTTTTCTATCTTTTTAGTTGTAGAATCTTTTTGAACCTAGTAGTTTAGTTTTATTGATGATATTCGGGGGGATTAATATTTTTATTGTTATCAGTCGTTGGATGGTCGCTGGGAAAGCCGACCCGGAGATGCCGAAACGGATGTACATCCATCCGGACAGCCCGTCCACCGGCGAGCAGTGGATGCAGAAAGTGGTCTCCTTCCACAAGCTGAAGCTGACGAACAACATCAGTGACAAGCACGGCTTTGTAAGTATTGTACGTTCGTTTCATTCGCCCCTTCTATAAACCTCTATGTGTATATGAATGTGTGTGATTGTATACGCGCCCTGGTAGTCAGAGGGGTGTGTGGGGAAGAAATCAAAGCACCTTGATGCACTCAAGTCAATGGAGTCCATTTTGGGTATTTTTATTTTTTCTTTGTTTTTGGGGAATTTGGGGATAGAATATGAGATATTTTAATGGGAGAAAATTTTATCTGGAAGGAAATTTTATTGGCTTTAATTTGATGTAAATATTGTTAATATTGGTTGAATAGGTGGATTATTACTAATTTTTTAAGCTGACGAAACATGGTGAAGAAATATTTTTTTGATTGAAGAGGCAAAATTCAAATGCTTTTAACTTTTGATTCTTAATAGTTATTAAAGTGGTTAAAAGGTCATTATAAAGTATATTTAATTCACTTTTCGGACATGTTTAATAATATTTAAGAATATGTTTCAAAATGGCGTATTTTCAACTTAAATTACAAAAATTACGTTTGAAAACGGCATATATCTAGAAATATTTAATTTTGACACAGAATTATGAAGCGCGGTTAAGAGATATTTGAACGGAGAAACTTTTATCATAAAAGTATATTAATTAGGTATAATTTGAAGTATTAATTAATAAATTTGAGTGATTTGTTGATTTATTACGAATTTTTAAGTTTTATGCTGTTTTTTGCAAAATCAACTCATTTTTGCACTTGGTATTTTAAAGGACAATAACTTTTGTTTGCAAAAAGTTATTGACCCATTTTGAAAACTAAAATAAAGTATGTTTAAATACCTTTCTAGACATATATAACAATATTCATAAATATATTTACAAATGGTATATTTTTAACTTTGAAAAACTTTCAACCAAATTAAAAAAATTTTATGGTGATCTTAGAAAATGATCGCTAACTATTTCCATGGTAATGACAGAAAATTGGTAAACATACCATCAGATAGCCACTAAAATCCGCTATAAAACGCCATAATTTATTTGTACGTACTCCACTTAGTTGCGCCGTTATCGTCCCCGAAAGACAGACCGCGCGATCACCATCAAAAAACTCTCCTCGTACACAAAATACTCAGACCTCACACCCGGCGCATCGACATATTTACATAAACCGATACCAGCGCAGAAGAAAACCAACCATCTCGAGTACGAGTAACCTATACACCAGGTTTAACGTGCGATCGACCGGCGCGATATCGTCGCGCACACCTTTGATGCAGCGCCCTCCACCGAGGTGTAATAACAGAAGCGCTCTCGCATTAGTTAAACGATTCGTCGAGCCGGCGCACAATAAAACACACACACACACCGATACTCCTGGTGATGATGAAGAAGGTGCGGAGATAACGTAATGCGTTCGGAGCGGTCGCGCAGCGTTAAAACTAAGTGATTTTCGGTGTACGCGGATATCTAAATTACGAGCGCGTTATCGCTGCCACCGGCCACCGTTAGGCTACCGGGCATTTTCCAGCGGCCGAGTGATGGTGCAGAGGACATAAAACGCATAAAAACCGACGGAGAAATGTGAGCCGTGGTGAAGATGGTCGGGAGACCACACCGTACGTGTATGAGTGTGGAGACATATTTGTTGGCTCAGTTAACAGTAGCTAATGTCTCGCCGTTAATGCGCGGACGTACTGTGCGGTCTCGCATGCCCGAAATGTGGGCTTATCAGCAGTTATCACGCGAGCGGTGGGCGAAACGTGAGTTTGTTAATGAGCTGCCTGGCACTGGATTATAAACACGATTTTTCATTATGGTTTTAGTCATCAATTTTCGGAGAAAACAGGAAAAAGTTGAAAAAAATTCAAAAATGTGCAAAAAAAATTTTTTGTTTCAACTTTAAAGGCCAAGAACTACCTTTAGAAATTGTGGAAATTTAAAGTGTAATACATCATTTTGTAGGTAATTTAATACTGATTACTTTAGACTTTTCTTCGATAATGTTTTCTTATCACCAAAAGTTCTACAAAGGCTTTTGTTTAACTTTTCATTGGAAAAAATAATTTTACAACTTAAATCTTTAATAAAATACTAACAAATAAAGCAATTGCAGAGAATGACATATCACATGATAGCAAATTTTATTGGCTATAATTGTTGTTAATTTTAAATATTTGAGTTTTAAATAAATAGGCTTTAATTGCTTTGAAAAGGCAAAAAACAAAAAGTGAAAATTTGAGAGTTTTGATTTTGAGGTTAAATAACTCTTATTAAAAATTATATAAAATAGGATTGTTATACATCAACTTATAGGTTATTTTACTGGCTATAATTTGAAGTCAGGTCCACTAAAATCCCTTTATTATAACGGAAGTTATACTGTTTTTAAACAATTTTTCATAAAAATTTTTCAAATTTTTGACTTTACCATCAAATTTTCCAACTTTTTTCAAACTTTTCTATAAAAATAATTATTCCACCTTATAGATAATTTAATTACCTATGATTTGATGTATATATCGCAAGAAAAGCTTCACTTGCAGTCCGGTTATAGCATAAGTTTTCAACGTAAGTGTCTTTGCCTGTGAACAATCCCCGGCATTTTTATTCGCGCCGCTGCCGATTTCCGAGTATCGCTGAATGGAAATGGATTCCGCGGAGCAGGGGCCCAACGGTCGGGGTCCAGTCTAATTGCGGTGAAATTGATGAAATTTTTGATATTCACCGACGACGCTCGCAGCGCCGCCAGCCCAACAATGTCGCAGGAAAGAGATTTCATTTTTACGATTTCGACGACGATTTTTACGACGCTTATTAAACGACGCTGAAAAGAGACTGTCGGACACTTAATTAGCGCCCGGTTTTTCTCAAATCACGCCGCGCTCGAAACTCTCAACTCTCAACACACACATCATATAGAGATAAGTGTGTGTATATAAAGGAGAAACGAACGAAATCGACGATATGGAATTTTATTTTAATTCCTCCTGGCTGTGTAGTGTATCTTACTTAAGTTAAGTTAGATACACTCGCGCGCGGACCACACAGCTAGACGTGCGCCGGACGCTAGGCTCCGTCGAGTGCGATAATAAAAATGCCACGGCCCCGGAGACCGGAGACTATCTTGGTGATTTCACTCGGGAGGCTCGCGCGTTTTGTTTTAATATCCCCGCCACGAGCGCGTTCATTAATTAATTAATGCGCGCAGGTATATCGGATTCATGGTCAGGCGGCTTCGGTCAAACACTTTGTTTGACACCGGATTACATACACACGCCAGCATGCAAAATGGGAATGTACGGCATCACAAGACGCAGAATTTTATATTCTTTGATTTTATATACAGAGGAAATAAGTATCTCTAAATTTATAGGAGATATAGGGTGTTTTAGGTGGAAAAAGAAGGGAAAATTTTGTTAATTTTAAGTTTAGGTAAAGATTTCATCAGGAAGATCAATGATTTTTGGATACTTCTTAAGGTCATCAGATGTAGAATTTTATACGCTTCAATTTTATATACTGAGTGAGTAGGTTTTTCAAATTTGAAGAAAGTTACAGAGTGTTTTAGGTGATAAAAACGGAAAAACTTTGTTAATTTCAAGTTTAGGTGAAGATTTCTTTATGAAGATCAATGAGTTTTGATGTTTCTTAGGGTTGTCACATGTAGAATTTTATACCCTTTAATTTGATATACTGAGTGAGTAGGTTTTTCAAGTTTAATGAAAGTTACAGGGTGTTTCAGTTGAAAAATTTGTAAAAATTTGGAAATTACAAGTTTACTCTAAAATTTCAAAGGGAATGGTACAGATATGGGGACATTGTTTAAAACAGTTAGATGTAGAATTTAATCACCTATAAAATGGTGTACAAGAATCTTTTCTACCCCTAAAAGAACTCCTAGTAAAATGAAATTAAGTAAGACAAAAATACAATAGTAAGATTTTTTAAAAGAGTAATATTTTACTAAAACAAGAATAACTTATGATTCACAATATGCATTACTAATATTTTGACATATATTGATTCACAAGTAAATTCTCTATCATCTAGAATTTTAAAATTTAAAAATATCTCATGATTACTATGAGTTATCAACCCTCAAAATTGAAACTTTGTAAAAATTTCTTCAAAATTTTTGAGTTTTTTTACTTTGCACACCTTTTATCTTGCTTTAAAGATGTCCAAAAAGTATCTCAGGCCTACAACCCCATTCTACACTTTCCATTTCACCGATTGTACTCTATTCCGCTGCACCCGGAAAACGTAGTGTCTGTTTGTGGCATCATAAAAGGGAAAAGCGCCTCCTTTTGAGGGATGAAAGCGAGCAGGCTGCCGCCTCCCGCACTTTGTGTACGCGCTCGCGAATTTACTTAATGCGATTCCACGACTCGCCCTGTTCATCCCGCCTCACTCCTTGCCGAAATGTGTGCGCGTTCGATATTTTCATCCCCGATTCTCATTGCGTATTCCCCTCAGGACGCGCTCTCATCGATATTCCTTACTCGGCGATATTTTCGCATCCAATGGGAATGGGCATGATCGAGTCGTCGATTTAAAAGTGTGGTAGCACTCACACTCGTATTCAAGGGGCGCCCAGGGGGATGCGATGGTTCGAAAGTGAATAGGAGATGCGTTAGATTGGATTACGTCGACCAGATGCACATCTTTTGGTTTTGGGGTCGATAGACGCAGCGCGGATAGATCTAGATAAGGGATGATGTTAACTTTGGCAGTCGATGCGGTCTAACCATCGGGGAGTGCTGTGGAGTCGGCGTTATCGGGGAGATCTTTGAGATCTATTCGTTTTTAAACTACTAGGAGAGTAGTGGTTTGCTGACAAGTGGCATCGTGTTAGAAAAAAGGCGATAACGGGCGATTGGTATAAGCTAGGAATTAGGGGATGATGTTAGTGGTAAGCCAGATAAATTCTCTATAAAGTGATGTATTCATTTGTGTGAAGGTTTTATAGGAAATTAGAGTAATTGTTAATTGAAGTTGAAATTTTGAAAAAAAAATGTGATTTTTAAGAG